TTTCAATAGAGGTAAACTTTAAAAATACCAGAAGAGATGCTAAAATACGTTCATTTTGCAAAGCTTAGTGGATTCTCTGAACTCCTTAATGGCATGTCCCAGAATAATGTTAAGAAAATGTGTTCTTTTTTTAAAAAACTATGCTCCATAAAAGCTAATTAGCAGCTCATCCAACAACTGCAGAGTATTTTTATAGCTATTATCAATTACTGTCTTCCCTTGAGGGGAAAAAATTTAAATCAAAAAGAACCTAAAATGTGAGGAAATGAGGTGAGCCCTACCTAACAGCTCAGAGCCTTTTGCTACTATGACCTTTTGTTTCAGTGTCTGATCATGTATTAAGAATTTCTATCTTCAGTCTTATGCATTCAGAAAAAAAAAAAGGGGTATCAATGTAATTTTTATATTACAGGAAGTATAATTTTAAAATGTTAACATTCTCATATCCCTGACTCAAAAAACTTTCCTACAAAAAACACTCACACAAGTATACTTTAAGGATAATCTCTAAAGCACTGTTCTTAGTATAGAAAAATGGGAAGCAACACGAATTTTTAACAATGGGCAATTGTTCCAATGGCCTGTGATGCAATGATATACAGCCAGGATGCCATATATATATATATATACATACATACACACACACATATACATACACATACACACACATACATATACATATATTTATAGTCATGAAAACATTTTCAAGATATATTAAGTCAAAAACAAAAACCAAGTTGAAAGTTGTTTAGTGTTACCCCAGTTATTATTAATACTCACAATAATAAATATATTTTAATAGAGAGAGAAGTTTTGGCAGTTTCTTCAGAATATAAGATTACAGTGTACTTTAATTTTCAAGATTACATCTTCCTAAAAGTTTGAATGTTGAGTAATATATATTGTGTATATAATCATAAAAAAAAGTTTTAAGTTAGTGATATATGTGGAATGGAAGTAGGAGAAAATCTTGTGTGTAAAGAAAAGGAAAACTTGGGGGTTAAAACTTTAATATAATAGCTCTAAAATGTCATGAATGTACCACTCTTTTGGAAGACAGCTGTATCCTTATTCCTGGAACTTTAAAATTAAGCAACTAACACAGGGATATCAGAAAAGCCCCTTCAGCATCTTCTGTTAATCATAGCTTCTCAGGATAAAAGTTGAGCCCTAATTCCAGTATTTATAAAATTCAACTGAGAAACACTGTCAATTTCTTAAAAATCACACACAGATTGTCTAGGTGTCTCTAATTCTAACTAAAAGTCATTGCAAATTTAACTAAAAAATTGCAGAGCCTGCAGATTCTAAAGATATTTGAAATATTGTCATAATGAAAATATGAGAAATTGATTTTGAATCTACAGTCCTGTAATCTACACAAACATTGGAAAAACTAGATAGGAGAAAAAAGAATTGACTAGAAATGTAATTGAGGAATTACAAGCCTGGGGAAAATTTCCACCTGCCTGGGAAGAGAGTGTGAATTTGTGCTGGGAAGGGTTTGTTTCTATAGCCATGTTACCTTGACAAAATATTTAAACTCCTATCCCTCAATTTCCTCACCTGCACAATGAAAGAACTGACAGTAAATAATCTCTGATCCCTTTCTACTCAAAAATTCTGAAGACAGGCCTTTACTCTGTCCTTGCCAAAAGATTTTTTAAAAGAGTATGCATGTACATAATATAAAATATAAGGTATAAAGTTATAAGGTATTACCCAAGACAGCAGACTTCTGCCTGGCTTTCTTTCATCCTGAGTTCCATTCCCCAAAAGAAGCTCCTTCAACTCTGCAAGATGTCTCTTCTAGTAATTACTTCAATATTTGTAAACCACACACTTACATTGCTCTTTCCTGATTTTTTTCAATTTTAGACATTACCGAAAGTTCGTTCTTCAATCTAACGGGAGCATTTATTCACCCAACCCACCTACCTCTCTGGGTACAGCCACACTGTTGACATGCAAAGGATACAAATATTACATACACATATAGAGGTGTACAGTCCTGTCTTCAATATAGACAGTCTGTCTAATAAGAAATTAAGGTTCCATTTTACATCCAAACACTTCACAAAATGTAGCAGGAAAAAGTTTAAAACATGGCCTTATTTAAATCAGAAATCCTAAATTCAGGTCTGAGTCCACCACATAGAGCAGCCAAATATGCATCTAAAAGTTCCTTATTTTCTCTGAATCTCATCTGTTTTCCTCCTGTGTAGCCTTAATATAATAGGACCCACTACAAAATGGTTAAATCACAATGCAGAAATATTGCACACATCATAACACTTTGTTAATCATAAAGCACTTCAGATATGTTATTTTCTCTTATTGTCTACTAAAAGAGCCCCTGAAGTTACTGATCATTCTTGGGCACTGTTCCCCTACCTAGGCTAAAAATTAAGGGTAAGCGCGATGTAGACGTAAATTGTGTTCCAAGGTGAGAACCTGAGGGTCCAGTTCCTTAAAGGCCTTTGTATTGCCCTATGAGACAAATCTACACAGAATAAAGATCAAGGTCTAAGCCAGTGATGGCAAACCTATGACACGCGTGTCAGAGGTGACACGCGAACTCATTTTTTTGGTTGATTTTTTTTTTGTTAAATGGCATTTAAATATATAAAATAAATATCAAAAATATAAATCTTTGTTTTACTATGGTTACAAATATCAAAAAATTTCTATATGTGACACAGCACCAGAGTTAAGTTAGGGTTTTTCAAAATGCTGACACGCCGAGCTCAAAAGGTTCGCCATCACTGGTCTAAGCAGTAACCCAAGAGAGCAATTTTTATATCTGCAGAGAAAGGGAGTTTCCTTATCAAATTTTCTTTTTAAAAGTAATATAAGGTCATAATTTCAAAAGTCATTCCTTAGGTAACTTTTTTGTCTCTTCTAATATGTACCTCTACCTCTCTAATAATGTATGTGTACACCTGCCTCTTGGTTTGTAGACATTATCTGCTCACTTCCTATTGTGGTAGAAAGAACTCTGCAGAGAAAGTGTTTTGAACCAAACTTGGGAGGTTAGCATGAAGAACTGTCCAGCAATGCATTACTCTGACTCTGCAGTAAAACAGTCCTTTCATTTCTAGTCTTCAAAAGGACTGCATGAAAAGGGGTACAACCTATAGGGTCTCTATGTAGAGGCAAGAAGGAAGCTAGTGGCCTAAATTATTAGGCTATTCTAAATTTCTCCTGAATCTGGTTCACTGATGTTTGGTTTCTCTTGCCTTTTCCACCTGCCTCACAGTTCATCCTGTTTCAAAAGCTATAGGACAAATAACAATGGAACCCCAAACTTAGTTTATTTCAAGATAAGCATGAACACAATTCTTATGAGCTCTGTGGAAAGGGATGAACTGGAGCTGAAAGAAACCAACCTTTGATTACCTGAAAAGTTATCTAAAGCCAAGAATATGCTGGTTAGCCGAAACCGGTTTGGCTCGGTGGATGGAGCGTCGGCCTGCGGAATGAAAGGTCCCAGGTTCGATTCCGGTTAAGGGCATGTACCTGGGTTGGGGGCACATCCCCAGTGGGAGATGTGCAGGAGGCAGCTGATCGATGTTTCTCTCTCATCGATGTTTCTAACTCTCTATCTCTCTCCCTTCCTCTCTGTAAAAAAATCAATTAAAAGAAAAAAAAAAAAAAAAGAAGAATATGCTGGTTAAAGAGTAAATTTACGGCCTGAATCTCCTGTTCAATTCTGTCCAGAGAAGACGAGTTAAGTTCTCCAAATGTGGACTTCAGCTGTAGTACACTAGGTTTGTGCAGCTTCAGAGACAACATCCTATTTGGTGCCAGGTATACAAGAAACTTGAGGGGCAGGCAAGTGACCCTGCCAAGCAGGCAAGATACACTAAGGAGAGGAAATCTTTTCCCTCATTAACCAACGGGGATAAAGGTGATTAAGCAGGAATTATTTTTCAATGACCTACATAATTTCATCAGAGCTTCTATCCATGATAGCGGAGAGCAGCTGACTTCCTAATGAGATTAATTTGATAGCAGGACCCTTTCAGAGAAGTCAGGGAGTAGATCAGATTTATATAGGGAAGCAACAATAGGTATACACTGTTTGCTGCTGTTCCTCAGGACTGTCTGTCCTCTGATTGGGGCTCCTTCTCTCCATGTGGAATTTTGCACGTCCCTAGATAGCTGAGGCTTCAGCACCTGCTGAAAGGTGGAGGCCGGATCTGCGAAGAATGCATGGATCCAGGTTGGTGGGACAGAGTTGGGCTAATTCATCCGATCTGCTCACAGGATTCCCAATGCCCCTAAGCCAACAGGGCTGCTACTGCTGCCACCAACACCTTGCTCTGGCGCTCTGGTGTGCCTGGGTTAGGACAGCAGCCAGTTCCACTCCCTAGTGGGATTAACAAGGGAGCTTTGTTGAGGTGGAGGCGGGACACACACACACACACACACACCATCTATAACAACAGACATGGCTTAAACGCAGGTTCACTTAAGAACTTATGAAGTTGAGCAACAGCCACCAAACAAGCAGGTCCTTACACCAGTCAAGTGCTGCAAACCTCAACGTGGCGCCGCCTCTGTCTCTAGTGTAAGCCGGGAGTTTGGAGAGGGAAACTGAGCCCTAGATTTCTATGCCTTTGCCTGTTCCTCCCGTAGGATCCAGCCCCCAGGCCCCAGGGATCAGGGAAAGGGGTAGAGCCCTGATGACATCTTTCTCCCTCAAAACAACCTCGCTCTGTCTCCCCCAGGGTTATCACTGAGTAACACCAAGTCCCACAGCTCTGGGAGCCACCTCCTACCCGCTGTGCTTGGCCACCCCCGAATCTTGTTAGGGATACTTTCACTGGGTCCCCCCCAAACCCTCCAACCCCCGCCCCAATACCTGTTCCTCCAGCCCAGCGCGGGGAGGAGGGGAGATGCAGGAAAGGGACACTCTGCGCCCCCTTCCCTTAACCCCCTGAACGAAAAGAATCCCTCAAGTGCCACTCGCACAGCAGCGTGCCACGTACACGTACCTGTCCCCCCGGCCTGGCTCCTCCTCCCCGCGCGGTGCTGGGCTGGCCCGACAAGTGTCCCGGGACGATCCAGAAAGTTTGTTCCCGGTCCTGAGGACGTGGGCCCGGCGCCTCCCCGGGTGCCGAATCCCACGGGGAAGGGAAGCCGGCTCCTCACCGGAGACTTCGCAGGTCTCTGCCCGGCTCCTCCCCGCCCGACTCCAACTCACCAGCAGGGCCGGGGGAAGGAAGCAGGAGGCTGGGGAAGGTCCGAGGGCAACTTTTCTACGGATCACCAGTGGGTGGCTGAGCCACACGGCCCCACGTTCGCCCCCGCCCCCTCCGCTGCGAACCCTTGGGGAGGGCGGGCGGGCGGACCGGGCCGGGGCGGGGCCCCACCTGCCACTCCGGCTGGGAGCGCGCTGGCCCCGCCCCGGCTGCGGCCCGGCCCCGCCCCTCCCGCCCCACACGCGGCGCCAGGTGCCTGTTTCCAAGGTGAAAGAGGAGGAGCCTCTACGGGAAAGTTTCCACTGAAACTTACACCCCTGCGGAATGGAGGACAACTCGCCCTTGGGGGCTGGCCCTTCGGGAGCCACGCTCCTTCCTGCACTCACAGCCGCGCAGGACAATAAACCCGCGAGTGGAGAAGACAGACCGCTGCCCGGCAGGGAGGGTCTAGATGTCTCCCTTCCCAAAGGTTTGACCTCGGCTACTGGCGCCTTCGCCACCCCATCTCTTCCCCCTCCTCCCCACAGTTTGAATGTTTAAATGTTAGTAAAATCCCCAAAGAGCCAGGTCAAGTGAGGGAAACGGTCCCCTGTTTTGCTACTGGCAAACTCCCTGGAGTGGGCAGGGCGAGACTGGGTCTCCGCAAACCTCACGGCCCCAGGAGAGGGGGCGGGTGTTGCTGTTCTCTTTTGTTTTTCCGCGGGAGCCAGTGTTGCCGGAGTTCTGAGTGTACGCGTGTGAGAGCACCCCAACAGTGAATGCTCTTTAATTTGGACTGTTCTGCAGCAAAAAAGGAAACTTCCCCGGCTCAGGACTCCCTGGAAGATGCGAGAACAGGTTAGGCGATTCTTTCCCTACCACGCTGGGTGGTGGTGGTGGCCTTTGGCACTGCTCCTCTGTCTCAGTCTCCTTCCCAGAGCCCAGACCCTGAGTTGGCCCGCCGCCCTTCAGCAGACATTTGGACCCACTGCCACACTGGCAGCGCCACCCCACTCCTCTTCCCTCCGTCTCCCACTTCCCCTGCATGCTTGGGCAGCGAAGTCAACGCTCTGCTTTCGGGACATGAAAAACAGGAGGAAGAATCAAGTTCTTAGCGAGAGGCCCTCTTGGCATTTTCAGTGTCCTGTGGCTGGTGTGGCTGCAACTTGAGGTGAGCCACAATCTGGGCAGGTTGTGGCTTGCAAAGGCGGATGTGGAAGTTTGTCCGGCCGCAGCGGCATCCTGCTGGCGCCTCACCAGATTATACTTTGGAGGAAGTAGCTTCCTCCCTTCCTTCTCCATGAATGGCAACCAGAGAGAGCCAAAACTATATAACTTAGTTTATACAGTAGATAGTATAGTTTCTAATTCCCGCTTGCAATGGAATGATGCAAGCTTCACGCTTCCTTCTGCTGTCTACCACCACTGATGTGCTTGTGCGCCGCAGAAACACTGGGTGCACTTGCTGCCCATGCCATTCAGGACTCACCAGCCTTTCACCTATAACAAGTGCAGACAAGTGACTCCTCAGGAAAAGCTGGGGAAGGACAAGGGAGATAGAAACGGAAATAGGAGCCAGGAAGTTCTGCACAGCAGGTCACCTTGGCCTGCCCTAAGATTGGAATGTGGGAGAATAATTCATTTATTCAACCAATATTTATTTGATGCTTTACACATGCCAGACATTCTTCTAGAGGTGGGGGACACAGCCGAAGACAAAAACAAAAATCTTAGCCTTCATAGAGTTCACCTTCCAGGTGGGAGAGACATGATAAATACATAAGGAAAATATGTGGGCTGCTGTATGATTATAAATACTGTGGAGAAAAATTAAGCAGGGAGGGGACATGAGGAATCTGATGGGGATCTCTTTTAAATAAGATGATCAAGGACAGCCTCTGAAGGAGGTAATATTTGAACAAAGGCCTGAAGGAGATCAAGGAGTTAAGATATCCAGGCAGACATCTATTGAGGCAAAAAGCAAGTATAAAAGCCATAAGCCAAGGTTTTGAAAGTGGAGAAGAGAAGGTGAAGTCAGAAGTAAGGATAACTCAGATCTGGTGAGGATTTTACTTTGAGTTGAGAGTCACTGGAGAGTTTGGGGTAAAAAAGTGACTACTTCTGACGCATTATAATAGCATCACTTTGACTGCTGGGTTGAGAATAGACACTAGGGCAGCCGTGGGCAAACTACGGCCCGCAGGCCGAATCCGGCCCGTTTGAAATGAATAAAACTATTGAAAAAAAAGACCGTACCCTTTTATGTAATGATGTTTACTTTGAATTTATATTAGTTCACACAAACACTCCATCCATACTTTTGTTCCGGCCCTCCGGTCCAGTTTAAGAACCCATTGTGGCCCTCGAGTCAAAAAGTTTGCCCACCCCTGCACTAGGGGGTAAGGGCTGAAGCAGAGACCCAGTAAAATGGTATTGAGATAATTCGGGAGCAAGAGGATGGTGACATGGACCAGGGAGATGGGGTGGAGATGATGAGCCAACAGGGATTCCCTAGAGGGTGGATGTGGAGTATGAAGTGGAAAAAAACAAAGATGAATCTGAGGTTTTTAAAGGGCTGAGCAGCTGGAAAGATGGAATTGTCATAACAAAGATGGAGAAGACTTTAGAAGGAGCAGGATGGAAGTAAAATAAAGAAAGCCAAAGGGCCCTGGCTATTGTGGCAAAGTGGTTGAACACTGACCCATCAACCATTTGATTCCTGGTCAGGGCACATGCCTGGTTGCAGGCTTGATCCCCAGCAGGGAGGTGGAGTGCAGGAGGCAGCGGATTGATGATTCTCATCACTGATGTTTCTATTTCTCCCTCCCTCCCCCTTCCTGTCTTTGAAATCAATTTAAAAAACAACATGTAAAAATATTTTAAAAATAAAAAAGAAAGCCAAAGGGAAGACAGGAAAGAAAGGACATATCATTTGAATGATCTTCAATGTCCTCAAGCTTACAAAACAAAGAAAACAATACATACTTCATTAAGGTTCCTTTAAGGATAATATGAATTAATATAGTAGTGTCTAGCTCAGGCCCTGATACATGGCAAGTACTAAAGAATGTTAGTTCCCTCTCTACAAATAGAGATGTATGAAATTCTTTCATACATATCCATTATGCCCTCTGGGAGTGAAACAGTCATTCACTTCAAGGAAATAAGTCTTACTAAAAGTAAATGAGAGGGAAAACAGAAAAGAAAGAACATGAAATGAAAACAAGTAAAGTCCAACAAAGGTGCCTGATGAAATCTATCTGTGACAGTAGCTTCTCTCAAGTTCTGCTTCCTCAAGAAGACAACTAAAGTATCAGAGTTTGCTAGTTTTAAAAAGGATTTTGAAATATGAAGTGTGTAATAAAGCAGAATAATCCACAACATATATAGTAAGCAAAGAATTTTGGTAAGGAATTCTAAATAAAGACATATAGAAAAATAGTCAAAGGAGATGAACAGAGAATTCTGCAAAAATATAAATGGACAATATACTTACATTAAATGTCCAACCATACTAATTAAACCTAGAATGGCAAGGCATTTTTAGTTATAAATTTGGCAAGGATTAGAAAAAATAATTATGCCTATTGTTGTATGTTGGACAATATCATAATAAATGGTATTATTTAATAAAAATTATTGTTAAAATAATAATTTTTAGCAATTTTATATAAATCTTTAAAATGTACATACTTTGAAATCAGAAATTCTACTTCTAGGAATTTAATACTCAAATATTTGCTAAAAATTTATATATAAGAATGTCCACTAGTGTCATTTAAATGTAGTGAAGTTATAAATAACCTACATATCCAACAAGACAGAATTATGGTAAGCACTGTATGTTGTGGGATAGCCATGTTATGATATGATAGACAGATATTTTTAAAAATATATTGTTGCATACCAATTAAGTGGAAACATATTCACAATATATTACTGTATAAAATAAGGCTACTACAAAATAGTATGTAAAGTAAGGTTCTCCTTAAAAGTGTTAATAATTATTATCTCCACACTAAGATGAGTTTATTTGCATTCTCTTCTTTGTACTTTTCTCCATTTCCAAGTTTCAGCCATAAGCAAGTATCATATTCTCCTAGGAGTGGAATTTCTGGATGAAAGGCTGTATATATGAGTTGATCCTGCCAAACAGTTTTCGAAAGTAGTGATACCAATTTATATTCCCCCAAGCAATATATGAGCTCTAGTTTGGAGCAATGCATTTTTAGCAGCAGGCATCCAGTGAATAAACATTGATTTGAACCCTACTGCTTTAGAAGTTATAATTAATGAAGCAGAAGTTAGAAATAGGTACTTAGGTTGTGAATGCATCTCTCTATATATAAAAGCCTAAGTGACTGGCCGACCAACCAAATGGCCAGTAGCTATGACGCACACTGACCACCAGGGGGCAGACCCTCAATGCAGAAGTGGAAACCACAGGCATGGAAACATGGAATAGACTGGTGAATCTCAGAGGGAAGAGGGGAGCGGGGAGGGCAGGAAGATATTAACCAAAGATTTTATATGCATACTAGAGGCTCAGTGCACAGATTCATACACTTGTGGGGTCCCTCAGTCTGGCCTGCAGGGATTGGGCCAAAACTGGCTCTGACATCCCCCAAGGGGTCCCAGATTGCAAGAGGGTGCAGGCCAAGCCAAGGGACCCCACCAGTGCATGAATCTGTGCACCAGGCCTCTAGTATGTTAATAAAATATCAACCTTTCTAAATTATACTTTACATAAATTTATCTCATTTTATTTATTTTTACCATTTTTAGCTGTGCTATATGCAAAATGTCAAAGCACTGAAATTAGATGTCTTTAATGCAGAAGTCAGAAAAGACTCCCTCCTCTTTTACCTCCTTTATTCCCACTTGTAGTCAGATTAAATCTAAATTTAAATTACCTTCTAAAGTTGCTTCTCTTAAAAAGAGCTCAGAAATGAACAGTGTATATCCTCTTAGAATATTAATCATCTTATCAAGAAATTCTTCTTTCTAACAAATAAATTAATAAAAACCCATTGCTTTTGAATGGTCCCATCTCATATGAAAATTATCAAGCGGTCAGAATCTACTCCACTGATGATATAAGGATTATTTATTATTAAACTCTTCTCAAATCCATCTATCTTCTCCTTTAAAGTGAATCACTACAGCCTGTTCAGAGACCAGTACCTAGAGAAGACGCAGCTGACAGACATCTATTCAAATCCCAGCTCTACCCCTTTCCAGCTTTGTAATCTGGATCAAGTAACTAACTTTACTTCTAGTTGTGCCTCAGTTCTCGCTCTAAAAAGAAATAATCATAGTATCTACATCATCAATTTGTAATGAGGATTATGTATCTCTATATCTACATATATTTTTGAGCACAAACAAAGGCAAATAATAAGCACTCAGTAAATTTAGTTTTTAAGGCAATTTTTAGGAACTTATCATAAGGAAAATTTTTAAACATGCAGATTTATGTACAAGTATTGTCCTATCAGCCATATTTTATAATACCAAAACTTTGGAAACAATTTAACTGTCAAGGAATAAACTAAAATAAAGTATGTTCTACCCAAACATAGTCTACCAATTAGTATGATCTCAGTTTTATTTAAAAAAATATAAAAATAGCCCTAGCTGGTTTGGCTCAGTGGATAGAACATCGGCCTGCGGACTGAGGGGTCCCAGGTTCGATTCCAGTCAAGGGCATGTACCTTGGTTGCGGGCACGTCCCCGGTGGGGAGTGTGCAGGAGGCAGCTGATTGATGTTTCTCTCTCATCCAATGTTTCTGGCTCTCTATCCCTCTCCCTTCCTCTCTGTAAATACTCAATAAAATATATTAAAAAAAAATTATATATATATATATATATATATATATATATATATATATATATATATGCCAAAGCAAACTTGAAAAAGAACAAAGTTGGAGGTATCATGCTCCCTGATTTTTTTTATACTAGGAAGTTATAGTAATCAAAACAGTGTGGTAGTAGCACAAAAACAGACACTTAAATTAATGGAACAGAATAGGGAGCCCAGAAATAAATCCATGCTTATATGGTCAATTAATCTACAACAAAAGAGACAAAGGCAAGAACTTATAATGAGGAAAAGCAGTTTCTTCAATAAATGGTGTTGGAAAAACTAGACAGCTACATGGAATAAAAAGAAATTGGACCACTTCCTTACATCATATACAAAATGAATTCAAAATGGATTAAAGATTTAAATCATAAAACTCCTAGGAGAAAACATAAGCAGTAAACTTTTTTTTTTTATATAAACTAAGCTATGTATTTTCGGATATGTCTTCCCAAGCAAGGGCAACAAAAGCAAAATTAAACAATGAAATTACATCAAACTAAAAAGCATTTGCACAGCAAAGGAAGCCATCAACAAAACGAAAAGGCAACCCCGTGAATGGGAAAAAATATTCACAAATGATAGATCCAGTAAGGAATTAATATCCAAAAAATATAATGAAGTCTTACAGCTCAACATAAAAAAATCTGATTTAAAAATGGGTGGGGAACCAGAATGGACACTTCTCCAAAGAGGACATACAGATGGCCAAGAGACATTTGCAAGGATGTTCAACATCACTAATCCTCAGGGAAATGCAAATCAACATCACAATGAGATATCATCTCACACCTGTCAGACTAGCTATTATCAAAAAGACAGTAACAAATAACAAATATTGGTGAAAATGTGAAGAAAAGGAAACCCTCTTGCACTGCTAGTGGGATTGCAAATCGGTGCAGCCACTATGAAAAACAGTATGAAGGTTCTGTTTATCGAAAAACTAAAAATAGAACTACTATATGACCCAGCAATTACATTCCTGGGTATCTATCTGAAAAAACAAAAACAAAACCACTAATTTGAAAAGATATATGCACGCCTATGTTCACTGCAGCATTATTTACAATAGCCAAGATATGGAAACAGTCTAAATGTCCATCAATGGATAAAGGGATAAATAAAGTGTGGTATAAATACACAAGGAAATATTATTGAGCCTAAAAAAAGAAATCTGCCATTTGTGATGACATGGATGGACCCTAAGGGCATTATACTAAGTGGAATAAGTCAGAGAGAGACAAATATCATATAATCTCACTTATATGTGGAATCTAATGAGCAAACCCGGGCTTATAGATACAGAGAAAAGATTGGTGTTTGCCAGAGGCACGGGTGTGGGGTGGACAAAATAGGTAAAGGGGGTCAAAACTTCCAGTCATAAAATAAATGTCACAGGGGTATACTGTACAGCATGGTGACTATTGTTATTGCATATTTGAAAGTTGCTGAAAGTAGATCTTAAAAGTCCTCATCACAAGAAAAAAACCTGTAATTATGTATAACAACAGATGTTAGCTAGACTTATTGTGGGATCATTTCACAATATATACAAATATCGAATCATTATGCTGTACATTTGAAACTAATATAATGTTAAAAAATAAATTATACCTCAATTTAAATTTTTTTAATGGTATTTGAGCAAAGCCTGGATGGAGTTTGTAGATTTTTATTAGGTCAAGGTTGGTAAAGAAAATATTTCCTATGAAAAAGGAATTCCAATACTAGCACAATGACATGCAGCTAGAAAGCTATATTTGAGGATGGGAGCTAGTCCAGCTGGACCAAAAATGAGTAAAAAAAAAAACCAAACAAACAGCTTTGCCAAAGTTAAAATAAATTCAGAATATTCAGCTACATATGTGATATTATCTCTGTGTCCTGTGCTGCATATATGTAAATCCCCAACCTGATGAGATCGTTTTTTACATGGGATTTGTGAAGCATCTCATCGTTTTATGGTCACAGGTCTCACACGACAGCCACAAACGCCTGTCTTCTTTCTCATTGAAGGAAGATGATTCCTGGGTCCATGAATTTTTTCAAAGGTTCCCTCCTCTTAGCCCAGTGGTTCTCAACCTTGGCTGCACATTCGAATCACCTGGGAATCTTTTTAAAATCCTGATTTCTGGGCCTCATCCTCCGGAAATTCTGTTTCTTTGTTACTAATGTTGTGGCCCCATCCCATAACAAAGAAACAGAATTTCTGGAGGGTGAGGCCCAGAAATCAGGAATTTAGAAAGATTCCCAGGTGATTCTAATGTGCAGCCAAGGTTGAGAACCACTGTCTTAGCCCCTTGTGATATGAATTAGACAGGTTTTTTGGGGTTTTTTGTTTTTGTTTTGCTTAACATATGCTTCAAGTTTTCTTGACAACTGAAGGTATTTGGTTTTGATTTTTCCCACTCTAATGGTCGGTGATAAACGTTTTCTTAAAAACACAGGTTAGCCAAAACCGGTTTGGCTCAGTGGATAGAGCGTCAGCCTTCGGACTGAAAGGTCCCAGGTTCGATTCCGGTCAAGGGCATGTGCCTTGGTTGCGGGCACATCCCCAGTGGGAGATGTGCAGGAGGCAGCTGATCGATGTTTCTCTCTCATCGATGTTTCTAACTCTCTATCTCTCTCCCTTCCTCTCTGTAAAAAATCAATAAAATATATTTAAAAAAAGAAACACAGGTGACTTGATCGGCAAACTCTGGCTCTCGAGCCACATGCGGCTCGTTGGCGCCTTGAGTGTGGCTCTTCCACAAAACACTGACTTCTGCGCATGGGCCACGAAGTTTCAATTGCACTGTACATGTGCACTTGCACGTGGTATTTTGTGGAAGAGCCACACTCAAGAGGCCAAAGAGCCTCATGTGGCTCGCGAGCCGCAGTTTGCCGACCACTGAAGAATCTAAGTCACCTATCCCTTTTGTTCTTTATTGTTTTGTCTACTGTTTTAGTCTTAAGAATGCTTGCCTTTATCTTTCAGATTTCTCACAAATTATATTCTCTTCATGCCCTATTACATATATTTTATGCTGGGTGCTTTATCCTCCATCCTAGGCTACAACGTGACACACTAAACTCTTAGATATTCAGGAAACCCACAGTTTCAAGAGCTTTCTCTGAGTAGACAGTGAGAGATTATAATTAAACTGCTATGTGGGGTTTTAGAAAGGATAAATTCAACAGAAAATTATAGCCACAGTGAACTCTTGGTTATTCCCAGGATAAAACTTCATGAATAATTGAAATGCACAGGTTAGCCTAATAAAATCTGCTTCCCTCTATATTAGTTCTTTCAGGCTGCTACAACAAAACACCCCGGACTAGGTGACTTACAAACAACAGAAATCTCTTTCTCACGGTTGTGGAGGTTGGAAGTTCAAAATCCGGGGGCCATCATGATACGGCGAGGACCTCCTTCTAGGTCACAGTCTTCTCACGGTATCTTCAGACAGAAAGGGCAGGGGAAAGCTCACAGGCCTCTTTTATAAAGGCACTAACGCCTTTCTCGAGGACTCCACCCTCCTGACCTAATCACCTCTTAAAGGCCCCAGCTGCTAACACCACCTTGGGGGATAAGCTTCAACATATGCATTTTTGAGGGGCACATTTAGACTACAGCACCTTCTTTGCCAGTAGCCATTATTTCCTATCTTAATTCCCATTTAATTCACAACTCTGATCATCCAAAATTTGGAAAGGTAGCAGGACTATGAAATTCACTGTTGTAGTTAGTAAAGGGATTATTATTCATAAATGAAATGTATCCAAATGAAGGATTATAGGAACTCACAGTAGAACACAGCCACATATACAAATACAGTATGTGAATCCTGAAAGTTATTCAGTAGGGCTTTTTATTCAATTAAAAGATTAAAAAAAAAAAACAGATATCAGATTGAAATCATGTTCAAAGGAAAGCATAAAAAACAAACAACAAAAAAATCAGTCCTACCAACCAATACAAAAAGCAATTTGAAAAATGTGCTGAAAACTCAAGAATAAGGACCAATAAGAGACACCTGTTCCCAGTGGGGCTCAGCATTAAAGAAGATAAAACAGTGGTTCACATCCTCCCCACCCATAGCAGCATCGGCATCGAGGGTGAACTTACTAGAAATGAAGATGCTTTGGCCCTGCCCTCGACCTACCAACCATGGGCTTTCAGGCCCAGCAACATGGTTTAACAAGCCTGCCAGGTGACTCTGATGCATTATCAAGTTTGAGAACTGTTGGTGTAAAACACAGGGAAAATATTTAAAGGGAAGCTCTGCACCAGACCTCAGTTACACTCCTCTGCTTCTAAATAGCCACAGGATTTGGCCACCTGCACCTTATCTATGATTTTGCCCAATGAAAACTATAAGATCGAGCATTTAAAAAGGCACGTACGATGTCCTATTATCAAAATAATTCCTACTCTAAGCCTATGAGATTGCTGCTCTCCATCTCAGTCATCAGGGCTTGGCTCTGTGACATGAAACACTCAGCTCTTTAGATTCCTCCCTTTATCCTCTTCTCCTTACCCCTTTCCAGGCTTCTCAGTATCCACAGGTTTTGATAATAAATTTCAATTTCTAGTTGCTTCCCAGAATTTGTGAAAATATAATTGAGGAATACTGAAATTTCAAAAATATGTAGATTTAGAAAAAAAAAACACAAGCTCTCTTTAGCCTGGATATGCAGTTTACAATACAGAACAGCTATTTTTATTCTTGGCTGGCTT